AATTATTAAAAAAAAAAAAAAACAACAACGAAAGTTCGAGTCAAAAAATTACCAAATAAGACAATGAATTTAACGTACAAATGAAGAAGGTAATTAAGGGCGAGTCTCGTTTTAAGTTTATCCACAGTAATCGAAGAAGAATAATATAGCAGACTGTAGCTGCTAATTACCATACGTTGCATTTAAAACTCACTTGTGGTAATTGGGTCTCTTTTTAAGTTTATCCACAATAGTTGAACAACACGAATAACGCAAACTGAGGAAGTAAACAAACTACGAAAGACAGTCACTCCTCATTATCACAAGCAGCTTTTGAAAGTCACTTGTGGCAAGTCGGGGCGAGTCTCTCACAATAGTTAAAGAAGAATAATAAAGCAGACTGAGGTAAGTAAATAATCTAAAAAAGGGAGTCGCTTCTAATTACCACAAGCAGCTTTTGAAATCACTTGTGGTAAGACGGGAGGAGTCTCTTTCTAAGTTTGTCCACAATAGTTAAAGAAGAATAATAAAGCAGACTGAGGTTAGTAAATAATCTAAAAAAAAAGTCGCTTCTAATTCCCACAAACAGCTTTTGAAAGTCACTTCTGATAAGTCTTGGTGAGTCCCTTTTTAAGTTTATCCACAATAATTAAAGAAGAATAATAATGTAAGCTGAAGCAAACAAATAAACTAAAAAAGAGAGCCACTCTTAATTACCACAAGCAGTTTTTGAAAATCACTTGTGGTAAGTCGGGATGAGTCTCTTTTTAAGTTTGTCCACAATAGTTAAAGAAGAATAATAAAGCAGACTGAGGTAAGTAAATAATCTAAAAAGGAGAGTAGCTTCTAATTCCCACAGGCAGATTTTGAAAGTCACTTCTGATGAGTCTTGGTGAGTCCCTTTTTAAGTTTATCCACAATAATTAAAGAAGAATAATAATGTAAGCTGAAGCAAACAAATAAACTAAAAAAGAGAGTCACTCTTAATTACCACAAGCAGCTTTTAAAAGTCACTTGTGGTAAGTCGGGATGAGTCTCTTTTTAAGTTTATTCACAATAGTTAAAGAAGAATAATAAAGCAGACTGAGGTAAGTAAATAATCTAAAAAGGAGAGTCGCTTCTAATTCCCACAAGCAGCTTTTGAAAGTCACTTCTGATGAGTCTTGGTGAGTCCCTTTTTAAGTTTATCCACAATAATTAAAGAAGAATAATAATGTAGCTGAAGCAAGTAAATAAACTAAAAAAGAGAGTCACTCTTAATTACCACAAGTAATTTTTGAAAGTCACTTGTGGTAATTAGAGGGTGAGATTCTTTATCAGTATATTTACAAATTTCGGGTATTGAATGAATAAAATCAATTTTATTCAATGTATGACTTACATGAATAACAATGGGCTTACCTTGGAATCAATACCAATGGTCCTGCCGCATTTTTCGCAGGCGTTTGCGAAAACTGATTCGTAACAGGCTACGCAATAAGGATGATCGTCCCTAAGTACGTATCGTTGTCCAGTGAGACTTTCATCGCATTGCCAACAGCAGAAATGTTGACCATGCCAGTCTTTGTTCATAGCCTTGGTGTACTCACCACTGAAAATTAGCTGTAACAAACGAGATCGGCGTCAAAATGTAAAGCTCTTTTTAGTAATAACAAAATATACATACTACACATTAAAATAGATACTATATAGTTTTATTTTAAATTTATGTAAATATTTAGTAGAAGTTTTCATTAGAGCAGTACATTCTTCACAAATTGTTAAATAAAGGGTTAATTTTTCATCAAGTCACACTTGTTGAGGATACCGACGGTAAGGCAAACGAAACATCTGACGCCTACACTATAATAGACTTATGATATAAAAGTTTCGTAAGTCCGAAAACTATCTAGATTTTCTACTTCTCATATCTATCCTAAGTCAAACTTTTCGAAAAACGCATTTCCCGAAAAATAAAACATCCCTAAAAATTTGCTCTAGATCATTTTTTACCTCTCATCACTCTTGTTTTTGTAATATATCTCTTTATCTATATCTCCTTTTCCTGTTTTTTATCTTTTCCAACACCTCAAACGCTCCTAACTTTTTCTTATTTTTTTAAGAAATTCAACAATAAAAAGAAACCTGTTACATACTTAGACCTTTTCAGATTTTCTCCAGGACAAAATAGCCTATTTCAAACTGAAAATCGTCATCTTTCCCGAAGTTAGAAAATGAATTAAGCACTTAAAGGATCGGGCCTATAAAGCGATAAAAAAGTTTTAAAAGTATTAATTTATTATCAGAACAACATAAAAATGGAACTTGACTGTAAGTTTAAATTCATAACAGGTGACCTATGTTAACACCACGACAAAACCTTGACCGACAAGCAGAAAAAACACGGACTCGCAAAAAACCGGCCGGTTGTGAACTTGAGGCCGCGAGATGCTGTCATTTCTTAAAATAAATAAGACAATATCTCGTCTTCGTCCGCTTCATACACAATAGGCTGTTTAGATAATGTATGCTTTTATTCACACCCACCGTTCTGAACACTACTCAAGTCACTCACCACCCACCGGAGCTTTAACGCGGAAGTCATCGACAGAAACACCTGGAGAAATATGTAGGTACATCGTACACATGTACTTACAAATATTATATATACAGGGTGTTTCTGGAATAAGTAGCAATCTTTTGTGGGTATTCACTAGATGAAATAGGGAATAAAGCAGCGTGGTTAAGGGACAAACAATTTGTAAGAAAACTAGACGAATTTGCAATCTGAAGCCAGCCCTGGACGTGAATTGGCAACGTATAGAGAAGAACAAACAGAATACCTCAAAACCCCAACGCTATAAACGTTTACTTCAGTCCCTGAAGAAGGTAACTTTGTTACCGAAAAGTGCTTCGGACAACTACAGTGTCTTGTTTTGGCGTTGGGGTTTTGAGCTATTCTGTTTGTTCTACAACAACCGCCAAAGTTTTTCCAATCTTCATATAACGTATAGAGAAATTACGATAACAATTAACCAACTGCATCGATGAAAAATGTAAACAGTGACGGTTGTGGAACGACTACGCTATTACACATTGCAATGTCGTATTTCCCTGCGTGATCCTACCAGGGCCGGACTAGCCCTACACTGTACGTTTTTCTCGAAAAAGGTGAACATTCGGACCACTAAACATTTACTTCATTTTGTCGTTTTATAGTGCCCTATCACCTCCTGAAAGCTAGTTACTTATTTCAGAAACACCCTGTATATATTGCCAATACAACACAAACCTTGATGGATTTTTTTTGATCTAGAAATATGAAGTAATTACTGAAGGTGATACAGCTAACAGGTGGTGATCTACAATTCAGATTTATTTTTTTTTTCATAAAATATATTCTTCTAATTAAAGAATATATGTATACATATAAACAGGGTAGTCATAAATTTCGCTTTTGATTTTCAAAAACTTTTCTCGTTCGAAAAGAATGTTCTTTAGCGTACCTGGTGACTTACACTGAGCTAACGTAAATAATATTTTACTTTTTGGGGGGGGGGGGGTCATTACCTCCGGGGCCTCTGTAGTGAACGTATTTAACAATTTTAGTACAATTATTAAAAAAAGTCGTAACGATATTTTCTCGGAAACGTATTATGAGCATCAAGTAAATAACTCCATTTGTTGCATATTGGACGTGGATCACGGTTAAAAATAAAGTTGTCCAAATGTAACTATATGCTGTATAAAATTCGGTTAATGTTGAATCATAACTTTGGTTTGTACAACTTGTGCCAAGTATGCACAGTTACAAAATACATATGCACATGCATCTTTCATATTTGCGAAATTTTAATGTAATCAAAATCGGATAATTTTACAGCTTTTTTTAAAGAATCTTTTACGTTTTCTATCCAATTAAAGGATCAGTCAGTGTCCATCTATGAGATTAAAATTATTTATAATACTCCCACTACGATAATTTTGAAAACCGATTTCCAGTTTGTTTAAGAATTTCGTTGCATCCTAAGGGACATAACGCCGAAAAAAAAAAAAAAGAAATGAAAATGTTTTACTCACCGGCCCTGAAGATTTGACCGCAACCGTCGCATCGTGAAGCGAATTGTTCATCATAGCATCGTCCACAATAAATACGATCACCCTTGGATCCGAACTGTTTGTCAACTAGAGAGTCACCGCAAGTAGCGCAGAGGAAGCAAGCTTCGTGCCAATGCTTGTCCTTGTACGAAAGGTCCTGCAACAATACGTACAAAAAATTATTAAAAAAAAAAAAAAACAACAACGAAAGTTCGAGTCAAAAAATTACCAAATAAGACAATGAATTTAACGTACAAATGAAGAAGGTAATTAAGGGCGAGTCTCGTTTTAAGTTTATCCACAGTAATCGAAGAAGAATAATACAGCAGACTGTAGCTGCTAATTACCATACGTTGCATTTAAAACTCACTTGTGGTAATTGGGTCTCTTTTTAAGTTTATCCACAATAGTTGAACAACACGAATAACGCAAACTGAGGAAGTAAACAAACTACGAAAGACAGTCACTCCTCATTATCACAAGCAGCTTTTGAAAGTCACTTGTGGCAAGTCGGGGCGAGTCTCTCACAATAGTTAAAGAAGAATAATAAAGCAGACTGAGGTAAGTAAATAATCTAAAAAAGAGAGTCGCTTCTAATTCCCACAAACAGCTTTTGAAAGTCACTTCTGATAAGTCTTGGTGAGTCCCTTTTTAAGTTTATCCACAATAATTAAAGAAGAATAATAATGTAAGCTGAAGCAAACAAATAAACTAAAAAAGAGAGTCACTCTTAATTACCACAAGCAGCTTTTGAAAGTCACTTGTGGTAAGTCGGGGCGAGTCTCTTTTTAGGTTTATTCACAATAGTTAAAGAAGAATAATAAAGCAGACTGAGGTAAGTAAATAATCTAAAAAAGGGAGTCGCTTCTAATTACCACAAGCAGCTTTTGAAATCACTTGTGGTAAGACGGGAGGAGTCTCTTTCTAAGTTTGTCCACAATAGTTAAAGAAGAATAATAAAGCAGACTGAGGTNTTTGAACAATGTATTAATTTGTTTATCTTTTTCTTTATATTACTAATAATTAATTAAATTTTATGTTCTATTAGAAATCAGACCAACTTATGTACGGGTTATACCCCTTATGGGTTTCTTTGTAATGTTCTTATATATGAAGGAAAAAACGGTCACTAATAAATAAATAAATAAAGTTTATCGTCGATCTGTAATATAATTTATGTCCACTTAAAAATTAATTGTAAAAAAATTACTTTGCATATGCTTCGCCATTTTTAGTACCTTCAGAACTTACAAAATTCACTCAACATTTACTTTTGATGAAGCTACAAGTTGGCGAAATATAGTCTCAATGTAAAACGAATAATACAATAAAATTTTGAGGAAATAATGCTTTTTTTATTTCTATCATGAATTTTTCATCCAGTAAAAGTTGTCTGTTATCGAAAACTAATTAATACTCAATAACTAATAACAAATCTAAAGATTAACTTCTATAAAAAGTAACACTTTGATACTAATTAAATACGGATTAAAAAACAATCAAAAGAATTCACATGATTATATAATCAGTTGTACGATTTATCAACAAAATTATTTGCACAATGTGAATAGAATTTAAAGGTATAAATGGCAAAACAGCTGTAGGTAGATCTATTTTTGGTTTCTGGGGAATACCGTTTGAGTTTTTCTTTTAGAATTGGGCCAACTATTCGCTATTTTTAATTTCTATGGCAAACAAATTGACATAAATACCATAAAACGAAAACAAAAATTAGAAATAAACTATTTGCACACGCACATATAATTTAATATCAGTCAAATCGGCATTAATTAATTGTGTGTTCTCACGAATTGATTTGATTGCATTTTAAAACAAATGTTCAAAACCTTCAGAAACGCACGTATAATTCGAAGGCTTTTTTATTTGTAGCTAAAAGTGTCCTTTAAGATTAACGTAAACGTATTGTACAATTTGATTCTGCTTTTTGTTAGTATTAATTAGAACAAGAACGTCATTACATTTTTCTCTGAGACATAGTCAGATTATATCAGGCAGAAAAAAGAACACCCCCTCCCTAAAAGAGACCTAAACCCCCCCCCCCAAATAACCTGTAAGGTCAAGCACTTAACGATGACGTGCTGAAAAGTTTTGATAAGATTATGCAGGCTTATACAAATGCCTTTTTTTAATAATATATTCTGGACTGCTTGCAGGATATTCACCACCACTCCTTTCCTATTCTGGGGCAATCTTGGCGTTTTCCTAAAATTAGAACATCCTATCTCCCCAACTGCTATTTTTGAACAGTAATCTAATCTAGGCCTATCTCTGCCCCTTTTTAGTCCTGTTCCTGCTTCTAATATGTTTCTAGCTAAATTTACGTGTCGCAGAAAGTTTTATATCATCATATCTCTACTTCTATTTATTAACTCGTATAACACCCTTCATTTTCTAATTTTTTAAATTAATAAATTGTATGCTTTTCGATGAAATTACTTATTAATAAGTTAAGATCAATTTTTTCAGTCACAACTGGATTATTTCTTATTTTTCAAAATACCTAC